CTGCATGGTGATTTTGTTCTCCTGTAAAGGCCAGATGAACAAGGCCTTGCAGTGGTAACATACAGAGAAGAAACAAGAGACCACTGCAGCATTATCAGATGCTCTGGTTTTAAAATGCATAAGTATGTGTTTGAGTAAAATGAAAAAAAGAAATGTATTCTATAAACGACAACACTAGAATGAAATGGCTGCCATACGTGTAGAGATTGAGATTTAAGAAACATTTGGAGTGGTCTCTTCATTTTTTTCAGATCTGTATTATATATCTGTATCAGGTTCTTAATTTGTGGCTCATTTTTTGTGACCCTTCTCTTCTCCTCAGCATTCCTGCCTTCCTCTTTCTGCATGTACACGACGCTGGTTGCGATGACGGGTTGGTTTCAGGACTCGACACCGTTGGCTATTATGGGAGTCGCTGCTGGTGCCATCGTCGGATGGCCGTTCTCTGCTCTGATTGGGTAAGGTGGTAAACCAAAAGGCCTTTTTGTACACAAAACTAACTCCCAGAACGCCTCAAAATGTATTATATTCCTACTCTTCATAAAAGCTTTGATTTATTTTCCCCTAAGGATTCCCATCGCCTTCGACCTGCTGGTGTTAAAGAGGCAGTGGAAAAGTTTCATCATCTGGTCGGTTGTTGCTCTGCTTGTTCTGCTGGTGAGAATATATGTTTTCATTTATGAATTGATCTCTACATTTGGATATTTGCAGATTATTTTATTCAAAGTATCACAGCTGTATTGTGTGCAAATGTAAAAAGGTCCTCTTTTGTGCTGCGTCTTCCTCAGGTTCCCCTGGTGGCAGTAGACTCTTTCTTTTATGGCAAACTGGTCATAGCTCCACTCAATATCCTACTTTATAACGTCTTCACCCCACATGGACCTGATCTGTATGGTAATATACATCAGCACACACCATTTATGTATCGTGGTTGGCAAGATACATGGTCCTTCAGTTTGTTTTTAGTCTTTTAGTCATGAACTGATTTTCACAAACCATCTTGAGTAAGGCTTATTACTTGATTGGAATATGGTCTCTAAAACATAAAAATTGCAAATCCCCTTTTCGAACTTTCATAATCAGTTTTTAGCCTGACAATTTCCTATGATCTAATTCAGCCATTTTTTTTTATTATCAATTCAAAGCTGCACTATTGTATAGTTAGCTCTAGAGCAGGGGTTCCCAAAGTGGGGGTCGTGACCCCCGGGGGCGAGATGATTACAAAATAAAAATGGAAAATAAAAAACAAAACCGGTACTTTTTTTAATGATTTTTTAAAAAACATTATTATTAATAATAACGTTTGCATAGATATTTTCAGGGGCGGACTTGCCATCTGTATAATTTCCCCGCAAAGAGGCTCCCCCTTTGACAATCCACGGACAACTTAAATTAATTCACTAGCACCCCCCCCCTCCCCCTGTCGTCGCCACTGTTATTTTGGGGGTCGCGGGCTGAAACCCCTGCTCTAGAGGGCATACCATTATCAACATAATCACATTAAACCCTGCCAATAGGTTGTAATTAGATGTGGGCTTCTATTCACAGACACAAGTGTATAGGAACTCTGATTCAGCTTGTGTCTCCACCAACAGTATTGAATGTTTTTCCTGATATATAAATTATCTGACTATCGCCTCTGGATCTTTGACTTAAGAAACTATTCCAATACCTTTTTATAGCATTTTTATTGTGATATTGTTTACACACTCTGTAATAAGTGTCGTGTTGGTTTGTTTTTTAGGTACAGAGCCGTGGCATTTCTATTTTACAAATGGGTTCCTGAACTTCAACCTGGTGTTTGCTCTGGCTCTGTTCTCTCTGCCCCTCACCGCTCTGATGGAGACTCTGTTACACAGGTTCAATGGTGAGGACACTAATGGAAAACATACTGAATGTTGGTGAGCTGCAAAAATTCAATCAGTCGATCAAAACTAAACCGCACATTATTTTATAGATCAATGAATCATTTAAGTAATTTTTCATGCAAAAATATAATGGAGATTTTGACCGACAAAGCATTACATTTAAGAGACCTCCTTGGACGTTGACATAACTGGGTTGGACACTTTTTACCTTTTTATTTTTTTATTTTATAGACTAATTGATAATCCTAGAAAATAATCTGCTAATTGAGCGATGAATACAAAATAAATTGGTAGTAGCCTGATATGTTGTCCATGCTTTTGGGGATGGAAAAGGTGTTTGACGTATTCCTCAACAACACTTTTCACGTCATTATTTCCTGTTTACATTTATTTGACAAGTTATTTTGGGAAGATGCTTATATGATTGAATTCAAATCCCTATTTCCTGTTGCAGCAGAGATGAGAAATAAATCTAATCTTGTGCGCGCATGTGTTTCCTGCAGTGCAGAACCTGGGCCGTCCATACTGGCTGACTCTGTCTCCCATGTATCTGTGGATGTTGGTTTTCTTCACCAGACCTCATAAAGAAGAACGTTTCCTGTTTCCCATCTACCCTCTCATCTGCCTCTGTGGGGCAGTGGCTCTCTCCTCTCTACAGGTGTGTTAGCATAACATACGATATGTATCAGGCCCCTTTTTTAGAATCTGTTTTTACAGATTAATTTTATATTTTGCAGAAATGCTACCACTTCCTGTTCCAGCGGTACCGGCTGGAGCACTACACGGTCTCCTCCAACTGGTTGGCTTTAAGTGCAATCGTGGTCTTCTCAGTGCTGTCCCTGTCTCGCTCTGTCGCCCTCTTCAAAGGTGGGTGTTAATTTAGTTTCACTTTTTTTAGAAAGTTTCAAACTTCAACAGTAGTTTTAGATTGTTTTTGTAACTGCCAGCTGTAATACCTTAAGGTAGCTACATATACACACAGAATAGATGGTGAATGTTTAGAGTTGGCTATAATGTTTTATGTCTAAAGTTCACACCACCTAAATGTCCAATGTAAAGTAATTGGGGCATATAGTAGCTCCAGCTCCTAAAGGAGGGTCAAGTCAGTTACATTTCTGTGGCTCAATGTTATGCGAGTTGATAGAAATTCATGCTGTCTATTTCTTTCTAAATGTTCTCTCCAAAAACCTAAAACATGAATTAAATTACATTTATTTGATTAGTTTTTTCGTATTGCTTTTAATTTTGGTCAAATAACAATATTTTTTTTACTACCTACTTTCCTTTTAGTTTCAGTTTTATAATAAACCAGGTGTGTACACACAGTCACCTTCAGACATGCAATAGTTCCAACCGGATGAAATTAAATGTATCTCCTCTGTCTCCAGGCTACCACGCCCCTCTAGACCTGTTCCCAGAGTTTCATCGCATCGCTAAGGACCCGGCTCTTCACGCAGTCCCTGATGGCCGACCTGTTAGTGTGTGTGTGGGGAAAGAGTGGCACCGATTCCCAAGCAGCTTCCTGCTGCCGAACAAGTCAGTATCCATGACTTCAACGTGTAATAAAGTATGGAAAGTGTGTTCTGCTTTTGTCAGGTGATGATAGTTTCTCTTTCTAATCCCCAGCTGGCGACTGCACTTCATTCAGTCTGAGTTCAAAGGGCAGCTGCCTCAGCCGTACGCCTCCGATCCGCTGGCCACACAGATCATCCCGGCTCATATGAACGACCAGAATCTGGAGGAGCCTTCCAGATACGTGAGTCACTCGGACTGTGTTGACGCAAAGAGACTGTACTGGAATAGTAGTTCTTAAATGTGTATTTATTCTCTGTGCAGATGGATCTACGGCAGTGCCACTACGTAGTAGATCTGGACACAGAGGAAGAGACGCCTCTGGAGCCGCGTTATGCTCTTAACAAAGAGGAGTGGAACATCATCGCCTTCAAGCCTTTCCTTCAAGCATCAAGGTATTTTCCCTAACTCGTAATTCACACTGACATCTTGTTAAAAAAAAAGTTTCAAACACATTGACAACAAATATTATATTGCTATATTGTAGCTTTAAAATATTTTTACGAGGAAAAAATATGGACAAAAAAAAAAAGTAAAATGGAGATTCTCTACTCTGACTAAAATAACACGATAAATATGAATATAAAATACACTTTAGACTTACAAGGACTTATGGGAGACCGATACAATTTATAAAATAATACTTTTGTTCTCTCAGGTCACATCCCCTCTTCAGAGCGTTCTACATCCCGTTTGTATCTGAACATCACACCACCTACAGGCGCTACGTCATCTTGAAACCACGGCGGCAAAAGCAGTCTCGTAAGCGGACCCATGGCTGACCTCTGTACCTTAACCTGGCCCCAAGAACAAAATCTTTCATGGAAAATCAATAACTTTCCCTCAAAACATCCGGTATTTGTTTGCGTGTGTGCGTGAGTGTGGACATGTAGGCATGTATGTGTTTTGAAGTATTTTGTCTCTTGACTCATTTGAAGATATCAGACCCTTTAAGGACATTATGACTGTGTTATGTGTGTGAAGCGAAAATGTTAGTTTTTTTTATCTCAGTTTGTGTGTCTGTCAGTGTGTGTCTGTCAGTGTGTGTCTGTCAGTGTGTGTTTGTCAGTGTGTGTCTGTCAGTGTGTGTCTGTCAGTGTGTGTTTGTCAGTGTGTGTCTGTCAGTGTGTAAATGTATGTCTTACAGTGGAAGAACACTACAAGATTTTACTGTATTTAGCGCAGGACAGGCACACAAACAGATTTCATTTTATGTTTTATTTTAAAATGTGGCCTGAATGGATTTTCTTTTACTGAATTGTGAGCCTAATCTTGTAGTGTTTGCTCCTCTGCACCTGAACAGTATCTTAATGTGTGAGTGTTGGAGATGAATGAAAGGGACTGCGTTATTAATTTAACTTTGGAATGTGAATAAAAACATGATTGACTGCTATCACAATCCTCCCGTTATTGTTTCTACTGGGACAGAAGAATCACTTCACCACGAGCAGACTGATTCAATCTCATTTTATTTGAAGATGTTACAAACATACAAACCACTCTCACTTACAAGAGGGACGTCAAGGCATAAACATTCAGAATAAATAATGTTAATGATGCTATATGTTGTCATTCTCTTCAATATCATGCCCTTACTTTGATGCTAGCATTGTCTTTGATTGAAGCCAGAGCGGCATTTGTACATAAGGGAAGTTCTCAACATTTAAGGCCATGTCAAAACACACTTGCAGTTACTGTTTGAGGTAGCAGTATTAGGTAGACTTTGGTGTGATCAAAACAGTATTTGCAGGCAAAGTGTTCCTACCAAGCAAAGGCAGCATGACAAGGCCATGCAAACCACACACGAAGTACCACACTGGCTTCAGGTCAGTTATAAAATATGATTTAAGCATGTCGTCATCAGATTTGAAGCTTCAGAAATATACAGCACAAACAATCGCAACCATGTACGTGCAGTTTTTCCCTATCCACAATCACACATCACTGCTTCACACACAATAAAGGAGCCCTTCAGAGGATCAGTAGTTCTCTCTGTTGATCCATTCTTCTTCATTGAAGTATCTCCTTCCGCCATCGAAGTTCAGGCCATTTCTGTAGTAATCCAGGGTTGCTTGGTAGGATTTTCGGTTTCCATAGGTTCCCAGGCTTGTTTGGTAAGTGTCTCCTTTGCCGCTGGTGGTATATGTCTGATAGAGGTCAGCTTTCACTGTGTGACTTCCAGGCATCAGTTTGGGATCAAAGAGGTCACTGCCTCCTCTGATACTGCCATCATACAACACATGGTCTCCGTACACACTGCTGCCGTAATGCTCACTCTTTGTAGTACGACGACCGAGACTCCTGTCATAAAACTCTCGGTGCCCGGTGCCGCCGCTCACACTGCTGTCATTTAAATCTCTCTTTGCCGGGCGACCCAAGCTGCTGTCGTAGAAGTCGCGGGTGGCACGTCGCCCAAGGCTGAGGTCATTGAGGTCAAAGTTGAGGTAGCCACTCTCTGTGCTGGCAAGCGTCACAAACCCGCTCTCTGTGTCCCGACCACCCAGGTTGTCGTAGTCACCTGTCGGGGTGTCCGGGGAGGAGCATAAGAAAGAGGTGTTTTTGGTGTTCGGGCGAGTGGAAACCAGGTCGTCCTCCTTCTGGGACTGAATGACGTTGTAGACATCGATTGGGACCGGGCTGGAGCAGATGCCGGGATCTGTCTGGCAGACTTCTGATTTCTGCTGTTTCCTCCTTCTGTCATACAAACAGAAGAGAAGCACAACATAACATCACAAATATTTATTATAAAACCTGAGCGAGACTTTAATATTTACAGCAGGGTTCCTGGAGCACATGATCTTCACCCCCTACCTAACGCATACACAGATTTTTTAGTTGGCCTTGGCACAGATCTGTATTCTCTAAGTGCAACTGTAGTTTTATATCTTTTTTTAATGTGGTGTGGATTGAACTTGGCTTGAAGCTTGGTGTCACAGACTGAAGACTCAATTATTGTTGGTCATAATCTTTTTTAATTGCATTTGTCAGCATAGTATATGTCAAACTGATCATGTAAATGGATCAATTAAGGACACATTATGTTATTGTTTTTTTCTCTATGAAAAGATTATAATTACAGCATTTTACCAATGTTAGAATAAACGATGTGATGAAGCTCAGATTCTCCCATTAAATGGTAAGACTGGGCTTTTATAACTATGTTTTTAGTACTGATACGAACAAAGGTCAATGAAGTAAATATTTCTAAATGAAAAATAAGGTTAATAGTTGCATGTTATTAGGATGCTCACCGTCCGACAATCATTTTGAAGCAGCAGACTCCCATCACTGTGAGTAACAGCACTATCAGGGGAATGGTGGGAATGATGATGTAAATCAAATTGAGGGCTGAAAGAGAGGCAAACAACAGAGGGAACCACATTTAGTCACTGATATGACATGAGTGTATAGTCTTTTTCGCAGAAATTAAACATGTTTTTCCACCTGTGATTCTGCCCTGGTTAGAGTCACTTGGATTCCACGGCAGCACAGATGAAGGGAAGACATCTGTAAAGAGTGGCATCATAAAAACATCACTGTATTGAACTTATAAAGTCTCCAAAATGTCTGCTAAATAGTGCTGAGCCTTTTTACTTGTTTGAGTGGCGTTGGGAGACGGAGAAGGTTCCAGTGGCTTCTCTGTGGAGAAAATGAATCACGGTCAGTAGTGTTAGAGTAGTATTTTCCAATTAAAATAAAATGTAAATACTGCATCAGCGGTACCTGCAGTGTATTTGCAGATGAAGTTGTTCTTAGTTTCACAATTATCGTCGTTCCACTGGAACATGTAGAGCCCCCCCAGACCGGGAGGAGCGGACGGCTGGTGGTACATCACCACACACACCTCATAGCCGCAGGAGGGCTCGTCCCAGTGCCAGTTCCTGCAACACACACACACACACACACACACACACACACACACACACACACACACACACACACACACACACACACACACACACACACACACACACACACACACACACACACACACAAGAACAAAATCACCTGTAATCAAATAGTTTATGGAAAATCTTGACAAAACTTCCACACTTTTTCAGTTAAAGGGTGTAGTTTGGCCCATAAAACTATTAAAGGTTGGAGCCAGCCAAATCATGCAGCTTATGAACAAAAATATTTTTCACTTTTGTTAGCCTTGTGCCCTCTTGTTTAGGTAATTTCATTATTTGATATGTTTTATGATCAGTTTTTTAAACCTCCAAAATCAATAGGCCTAAATAATTCTGTATTAATCATGCAATGGAAATACCTATCACTTATCAAACTTGGGCTTTTGTCTAAACTAAATACATTCAATTTGCATAGGGTATTTATCCAGAAGGTTCGTTGTGTCCCAGACACAATGTGTGTCCCTGTAACCCCCTTGTGACCCCCTGCTTAGGAAGAGTTTAATCCATTTCTAATATTGTTGCATCAAAGACCCTCTGAACCCCTCCCCCTTACCTGAAGGTGAACCTGCTGCCGTCCAGCCAGTAGTACTGAGGGGAGCAGTCAGCGCTGCTCTCCTCTTCGCCATGGTTTCGGCGTAGACCGATCCAGAAGTCTCCGTCGGTGGGTCGCAGCTCCGTGATGAGCTGCTCCACGATCTTCTGCTCAGACTCTGACTCCACGCTCAGCAGCTGCCCCCCGTCCCGCCTGCAGGCCAGCTCGGCCTCCACAAAGTTCAGCCTCCGCCGGAGCTCGGAGAAATAGGCCAGCTTGTAACACGGCTTCCCTTTTCCCGCTTTGCACACACGTTGACCTGCAAACACACACACACACACACACGCACGCACGCACGCACGCACACACAAACACACACTTATGACTACACATGACAGACTGAGGTTTTCCACTAAAACTACTGTAAGTGAAACAAACAATGTAACCAAAACAAAATACCAATACATATTAAGAAATAAAATACAAAACATTTTTATATTATAAATAAATCATTAAAAAAAATGTATCTCTGAGCACAATAAATAGCTTGGTTTCTTATATTCTAAGGTTACATTGTTCCGTTGTCTTACATCAAACACTTAAGTAAAGGCCATTTAATTGATATTTATTTTTTTCTTCATTGTATTTGATATTGAGGTTATCCAAAAGTAACCGAAAGTAATCAGGTTACATTACTTTTATTAGCTAACTGATTTCTTTACATGTAAGAATACATTTTTAAATTAACCCTCCTAACCCTGCTCTTTGCTTAGGTTATGTTAGAGCACTGAAGGCTGTACGGTGGAGTGGTCGTCTATCAATCTGAAGGTTGGGGGTTTGATCCCAGCCCCTGCAGTCAACATGTCAATGGGCAAGATACGTCCCACATTCCCAAAAGTCTGTGAATATTAGTTTTCCTTCCTTAAGCAGGTGGTAGGCTACATTGCATGTTCTCAGTATAAATATGTATAAATTAGGGAATGCTGACGGAAAAAGTGCTTTGTAAAGTCCATCTGAAAGGACGTTTCTTTAGGAGTTTTATATAGAGATGGATCAAGGTGTAGAAGCCTTTCATAATTTAAAACTGTAGTTGTAAGAGAAAGTTTGTCGCCTACCTCTTGCTTCAAATATATCCGCTTCAATAGCCCAACATCCAGCATGAGGTCAGTCAGGCAGGCCAGGAGGCAAAGATAGATCCACAAGTGAGTCAAGAGTTTATGTCTTTGAGCTTTGTTGTGTTTTCAGTGTGCGTTCTTACCTGTAATGAGGCTTGAGGCTGCAGATGGTTCGAAACATAAAAGCAGAAGGTAACAGAAGATTGTCAGCAGGTCCATTTTTGTCAGCTGTTCACCAGCACCTCTTGTATTTTAGTTTAGTTTTCATGCCGCTGTCTGCTCAGCTCAACTGAACCTCAAGAGGTGAGCTGCTGCTACGAGTGTTAAAAAAAATCCTTAAAAAAGTGGGATTTCAAAGAGCTTAAGAAGTGCAAAATAAGCAAGTCTCTTGTTCTTTCTGCAGAAAAAGAGAGTATGTGAGACAGAAGGAGGAGCAGGAAGAGGAGGAGAAAATACTGTGTGCTTGGGAGGGGGCTGTAATCTGTTAAGAGCAGTTTTAATGATTGGGAGAAGAGGCTGCATCGATTGCAAGACATCTAATCATGCAAGTGCTTCTCATCGTAAACGCTGACAAGAGGCAGATTTTGCTCCTTCCTTTATTACTTAAGCTCTAGGAATTATCATTACAAAAGTGTTACATGAAAATGATCTGCTCTAACTCGATCAGGGATATTTTAATATATTTCTCTCAGGTTCATATTCACTTTGTTCTGCAGTTTTCTTCGCTTATTGTGTTTCAGCACAAAGAAGAACAGATGGCCAACACAGCGGACATCTCCAAGAGGGGGGACATTCATTTTCCTGTACTTTTATTTAGGTCTGCAATCTCTTTTAGTTTAAGTTAATTATTATTCAGGGTATCACCACTTTTAGATTGAAATGTTTTTTAATCCATATTGGTAAACATGTGATATAGGCTAAATGACCTCACTTTTTTCAAATCGAGCCCTGCCCACTTCGAAACACTGGGAACAAATGCACAACTGAAACCACAAATTAGGGCAATCTGCTTTGTAAAAATAACCAATATCGTTGTGTCTTTGTCCAAATATGCTATCCATCATTTAGTAGAATCGATCATTAAGTAGAAACAGAAATAAATGGTTTTGAGGGACTGTAATTTCTATAAATTCTGAAATGAAGTTGTGAAATTGCTTAGGCGAAGGAGATGTTAACAATGAGTCAATATGTTTTTAATAATAATATGTTCAATTTCAATAAATATTGTTGGTTTGGCATTTGGAAAATGGCTAATTTGCTTTCTTGATAAATTAGATTGATGTCTGTAGTAAGTACTGGTTGAGTTATATCGTTTATATTTATTTTGGATAACAGGACCAGGACTTTGGAGATGGTGCTAGTTGGATTTTCTTCCTTCTTTTTTATTTCTATACCTTAGGTCAGATCCGGACGAGCAGCTTTCCTGTTTCCAGTATTTATGCGTAGGTAACTAGTTGAGCAAAAATATTAGACCTATACCGTGAAAACAGTGGTATAAATCTTTGCTTAACTATCAGGAAAAAAGGAAATAAGTATATTTTTCATACACTTTTCCTTTAAGATTGTGGAATAAGAAGAAACACAGAATAAAATGTGTGACACGTTTAATTTAATCTCTAATCTGGGACAGATGCCAAGTTATTGAGAAGCATATTTGACACGTGTTACTATTAAGTGAGATTTTCCATCAATATAATATGTGAGCTCAAGTCCAGATCAGCAGAAGCCATGGATGTGAGTGTGATCCGTATTTCCAGGCACAAATGGGGTATGTATGCAGTACTTAATGGTAGTAATTTAAAAAATGGGCCATAAAGTTGATTTAGGCCTGGCAGAGAGACAGATCAGCCAGAGTTTAAACAGCAGGATGCTTCATCAGGAATATGCTGTGTGGGCTAGCGTTGAAAAAGAATAGGGAGTGGGGAGTAAGGGGGATGGGGTGGGGCTTCTCTGAATATACTGTCTGCATGCTGCTCTATCCTAACATTGCCTAATCAGTTTAGGTGTAACAGATTGATTTCAGTTGAAGGTTTTGTTTTTTTAAATAGATGGCTGGATAGTGGATGTTGGCATTAGCCCTGAAAAAATAAAAGTGGAGAGGTAACCGAGTCCTCCGGTGGGATTCAATAAGGAATGGACCTCCTTAAATGTCCTCCATGTTTACAGCCTCTGGGACTAAGAGAGGCTTTCATTAGATTACGCCTCGGCCATTCGCTCCTTCTCTCACACAGTCTGTCTTCCTCCCTCCTCCTCATCTCATCTCACTGGCTTCCTCCCTCTTTCCCAATTAGTTAAAGGCAAACCAGATGAATGCTCCCCTGGGAAGTCAATATCACTGACCCAACACACACACATATACAAAAGGTAGGCGTTTCACCATGTCAGAGAAACCAAACATTGATGTTGAATATTCACCACTGTTCTTTGGTTGTTTGGACATTTAGCCAATATGCAATTGGCTTGTAAATAAAATTGCTAAATGTACATTTCCACTAAGGCAAGGCCTGCCAGCGTAATGGTCAACAGATCATCGTTACACATTAAAATAACATTTGATTTGAAGCCATAAACTTGTTTTGACCACAACAAATCATTGGTAATGCAGTGGCCTTGTTTGTTTGTGGGCTGTAAAGACAGGGCAATGAATGACAATCTCAGTTCATTTCCATCTCAAGCCAGTAAGTGAAAGAGAAAAACGTAATTACTCACCAAAAAAAAGAACGTAACTTTCCACTAAATTCAATTTGAACAATCTCAGTTGGCATGTGGCCAGACTGAGGGTCCGCATTGCGTTCGGCCTGCACAGAGAGCTGGAAATGAGCCCTGATTCACTGACCTGCAGGAGAGTGGCTCTATCAGCAGAGCTCATCCATAGAATAGTTTTGATGAAAGCTTTAAGTGCTGTACTAATTCTTGAAATGATGTCTTTACCATGCAGTTTAGAAAAAAGGCTTAAGAGAAGGATATATTTAAAGGGGCCCTATTATGCTTTTTGGGGTTTTCCCTTTCCTGTAGTGTATTATACAGGTTTTTGAAATGTAGTGTAAATGGTTTCAGAGATTCACGACGATAGTGGTTTTCATTTACAGCAGCTGATGTGTGTGTTGTTTTGGTCAAAGTGTGATCAGGGTGTGACTTGTCGACGTTAAATCCGTCACAGAGCAGTTAATCTATGTGTCTTGTTTGTTTGGCAGCAGTTTGACAGCTGCCTGTTGGTGAAATAAATAAATATCTGTCAAAGTATGGGTTATTTTATATTGATGTTGTTTGTATTTAATTTACAGTATCTGACAAATGAAGGTCACGGTTATCACAGTAACAAAAATGTCTTATAAATACTCAATATTGCCTGCTTATATTGGGCATGATGGCCCAACAGTTAGCATATTTAATGGATAGCTATCATGTTATAAACATTATGGCACAGATAGACATATTTAAGTTGTTTCACTGTAAAGACTATAATCCCAGATCCAGGGTATCTCTTCAAAAAAAATCAAGACAGGTTTATAGTGATTTATTAACTGATTTACATCCTGGTTGACAATGACAATATTGAATAAGGATGACAGGGTACAGATCAGCATAACTAATCACTAATTGAGCGACTGTAATTGTGCAATTTGAGAATAAGCGAGTGCGTGTATGTATTTTTATTTGTAGCTTTTGATAAGAAAAGTTTAACTGAATATTATATATTTTAAATGTTGAAGGCACAATCTGAAAAACAAGATTAAATCACATAAACCAGTGTGTTTGAACAAACAGGATAAACAAAACATATTACTGAAATGACAAAACTGATTACAGTATGCAAATACATTTTAGTCCTTCAAAAACTCAAGTGTTGAGTATTCTTCCTGTTCGTCATTTCCAAGGATTCCTTTGAGGAAATCGACAACTCTGAAAAGATTAATGTGGAAATCTCTGGAGGTCTTATCCGACTCGACTTTACCGCCCCCCGACCTGCACAGATCCTTCGTTCCCCAGCTGACCAGCGCAACCTGTGAGAGAAATTCACTTTAGACAGTTAACATGAACTCAAATGATGTTGCCTCAGTGTTTAACATGGAGTTTCATTTTCAATTTGCCATAACTTTTGGTGCTTTTTGTTAAAGTGTTGGATACACACACAACAAAGACGTGACTGTACCTGTATCGTACGATGCTCATAGTTCATGAACACAGCACCCCCTGAGTCACCTGTCACAACAATAATATTAATTGATTAGTGAGGCCCAAAAGGCTAAAGAAGTTGCTTAACTACTGTGTCTGGGTGCAATTCAAAGTTACTGGGCGTTGGTGAGAAGAGCTTGAAGAGGCCCTATTATGGTTTTTGGGATAACTAGCAGCTCCCATCAAAGCAGGGATATAAATTGTAATAGAAGAAACACACCTTTACATGCCACATGATCCCTGAAAGGAGTCAGACCTCCAGTGCACAGGAAGTTATCCGTCACAGCAACCTTTGGATCAGTCGCTGTTATGTTAGGTGCCTCCAGTGCATACTTGATGCAATTATCTCTCTGCATTGGTTATTAAGAGTAGAGCAAAACCACAGCTCAAAGTGACTTGAAGGTTTAGAGTAAGTAATGAAAAAAAAGCTCACAATTACGCACACAAAAAGCACAACCCAGCTCAGTAAACTCACAAGTCCACCAAGCTTAGCGTGGGCATCTTTTTCATCAACCGAGCTTCCACTCTTGGTCAGGAAACTGACTCTTTCAAGTTCTTTTTTTAGCAGCAGCTCCTCTGTGTTAAGAAAACACAAAAACAGTACAGGACATTGAAGTGAAGCTGAGACTATGGATATTTTTATTTGAACTGCAAGGCAACTCAATTGACAGGGGATGACTGTATGACATATTTGGGGGAGTGGGGGGAAAAAATTGTATACATTTTTTTTATGTTAGAATATAATGCCAATCAGATCATTTATTTTTTAGGACTAGGACAATTTACCTCTACACTGCATTGCAAGAGAAGTGCTGTTACTTTTAAGCACTCAATGGTGGGAATGCTCTTTTTTTTCTCGGGAAAGACATTTGTAGCACCCCAAAATTAAAAAATAAAGACATATTTTCCTCTAACATGTAGTGCAATTTATCAATCTAAAGTGTTTTAAGTTGTCAAGATGGCTGCCTTCACTGAATATAAGGGAACTAGATGGCACTCGGCTTTTGGTGCTCAAAGCTAAAAAATAAACTTGAAAACTAAAC